ATATACAAATGTGAAAACACGTTCTGTGGTGTATTGTCCGGTCCATGTCTAGGGTTTCGCTCGGCTAGTGGCATTCCCTCCATTTAGGATCGTGTATGACAGTCCGCCATCTCCACGAACCCCAAACCGAACCTTGCCTCCTTCATGTCTTCTTTCCCTCCGCCGTCATACCCAGCCCGCGAGCGCCCGCCTCCTGCACCGAAGCCGGCGGTGGCGTGGCCATCGTTGCTTAGCGGCGGGTAGATAGCATTGTTGTGGGATGCGTTACTGCCTTGGTGTGTAATGGTGCGTGGTCGTTTAGGGTTCATTTGTGGTGTTGCGTGTCACTGTCGGCATGCGTTCGCGTGGTTACAGAGCCGCGATTACCTTGTTTTCCCATCCGTTGCATCTCCTGCGTGCACCTCGTCTGGCAAGCACGTGATATTGTCGGGACGCGGGACACAGTACAGGCGGTATTAAGCTCACCTGCATCGACTGTGCGTGCGTGCGTGAGTGATTCCTGTTGTGCGTCTGTCGGTGTGCTGCCTCGTACTTCGACCGATTTTGCTGTGCGCATGCGCTTGTGCGTTTGAAGTTGTGTCATCCATTTGTGTTCCCCCCCGTGGGCGAAGGGTTGTGTAAGTGAGAGTGTGGTTGCGTGCGTGTGCGTGCGTGTTCGTGTGCTTGGGTTTTTGTGTGTTGCGGACGAAGTTAGGTGTTGAATTGTTTTTTTTTTTCTTTTTTTTTATCACATTTTTTCTTTTTTTTGATTTTTTACTTCGTACACTCCACATGTCACTTCCTTTACGTCGTTTCTTCATCCTTTGTGAGGCTTCTTTGATTTTTTCTTATCTTCTTCTTCTTTTTCTCCTTCTCCTTCTTATTCTTATTCTTCTTCTTTTCCTTTTTTTTTTTCTTCTCGGTCGTCGGCCCTCTATTCTCAGACTGGTCGGAACGGGGAACTTGCGCGTTTGCGACTGAGAAGTGTGCATGTGGAGAAGTATTGAAACACCTAATCGACCTTTGTGCGAGAAGCAGTCTATGGACGCTGTTTTGACTTTTCACTTTCTTCTTCTTTTTCTTCTTCAATTCATCTTCTCGGTTTCAGGCCCTGTCCTCCTTTTTATCATCTCCGATTCTTGGTATTCTTCACAGCTTCGTCTCGTTCTTCGCCGCTTTTTTTTTTTTTTTTTTTTTTTTTTTTTTTTTTTTTTTTTTTTTTTTTTTTTTTTTTTTTTTTTTTTTTTTTTTTTTTTTCTTTTTCTATAGTTCTTTTTCGTCTTAATCGTATTCTTGTTCTTGTCGCCCAACATCTCATTCTTATTTGGCTGAGCGAAATGACTTGAAAATTTATATGCATGTACGTCATGTTATAGAGAACTCGCAAAAAAAAATTTAGAAAAACAAAGTTATGTTTAGACCCCGAAATAAGTTTTTGCGGGGGCCGACCGCTGTCAAGTTCGGACCCTGTACGGGACCCCGAACGCCCATACGTACGGAGGTCTGCCCAGGGACCTCTGTACGTACGGGCTGGTGACCCTGTATATATATATATATATATATATATATATATACGACGAAACAGTTTGTCACAGCCCCTCGTTTGTTGTCCTCTTCTCTCTCTCTGCCTACGGTTTACCGGGCAGTTCTGTTTGTGACGATAT